TGTGATTTCAGCTTTGAGCAGTGACCAGCAGTTTATCCCATACCGTAATCACAAACTTACCATGCTGATGCAGGACTCACTTGGAGGAAACGCCAAAACTCTTATGTTTGTTAATATCTCTCCCGCTGACTACAACCAAGACGAAACCATCATCTCACTCATGTAAATCATTAAAATACTGGTGTATGAAGCATCAGTACAATTGTAAATTTTCTGAATTGTTTCTTCTCTCCTTATAGCTTGCTCATGAATGGTTAGGTACATACACTTTGATGTATGTACCTGTTTATTTTTAACTGGATAGCATTTGCAACATGGTAAAGATAATGGTTATTGGACAAATTTTCATTATGACATAACCTTTGTGAATTTTTGCAATTTGACTTACCATAATAGGTGATTGTCTTTCTAAGTAACATTTTTCTCTAAAAATGGCTACCAATTGTAAAGTATTGCATTCACTTACATGTTTACACATTACATAGTATTTCATGATCCATTGCTATGCACTGTTTGAGAAGTCAAAAATACCTACATGTATTTTATGTTAGAGTACATGTATAGTCTATTTTTATATAAACTGAAAACTGCATTTCTTCATACATGTATTTAAATACTCATTTAAAAAATAAAGAGATATATTGGAATTAACCTTAAACAGTCCATGAATTTTTCTTGTCACTAGTACAAATGTTATTTTGCTACCTGACTGTTTGTCTATTTATAGATTTTTAATTGTTACAGGTATGCATCGAGAGTGAAGTTAATTACCAATGATGCCTCCAAAAATGCAGAAAACAAAGAAATCAACAGGCTCAAAAATGTTAGTATTACATAAATATATTAATTTATATTTCTGAAAAACTTATGAACATCTTTTTTTATTTATTTATTTTTAGTGAATTAAGTTTCATCATTCCTATATAATTTTGTAATTTGCAGATAATTGCCAAGTTAAAGAAAGGAGAAACTGTCAATGAAGAAGATGAGTAAAGAAAGAGGAAATTCTGGGAGATATTTGAAATATTTCATTTACTATTTAGTGTTTTAATGATTGACATCTGTTCCAGTTAGTCAATTTAATGATAGTTGCAAACATAAAGGAAATCAAAGGTTTTTGTATATTATTTTTAATTGATCCCGTCCCTTATCCATTGAGAGATGCAAGTACATGTATTTAAACTGTGATATCTGATTTTTTTTTTTTTTTTGGAGGGGGGGGGGGGTAGGATTGCAAAATTTTACTCGCCCGCTATTTGTGATTTCCCACAATTTTATATTTCCAAGTTTTAGTATATCTGTTTAATGTAGAATGTTTCTATTTTGCTGTTCTGTTTTACTAATATACTTTTTAATACATGTACATTTATTATAGACAAGTTTAACACATTCCGTCCTGAAAGGCTGGCCTTTCACTATGTATTTTTCTCAGTGATTTCTTGTATATTTACATACCTGTGATATATGTAATTAATTTAGTTAGAATTCATCTAATCACTTCTGGACAAGTGATGAAATTGTTATTTGATTGTAATTTTTAATGCATATTTATTCCTTCAAATCCTATCTAATGTGCAATGACTTTTACAATTATTTTTCTTGTTCATATCCTAGTAAATAAAAATTTATACCTGGTATATGGAATTTCTTTGAAGTGAATTGATCATTCATAGTAGGTCAAATAATGCAGAATTGAAAATAAAGTTGTACTTTGATGTATCTGTCTTCTGATTATACATCATGCAAGTAAACCAAATAATTGAATCAAGTGAAATATGATGTGTGAAGAATACATTTAAGGATTTTTATTGAAGTATATTTTGGGAAAACAAATCATTATATAACTTTTTTTTTATCTCTATTGATCTAAACAAAGGAACCTTTGCTCAGCTTTTCTCTCCTTTTTTCTTGCCAGCAGTGAATAATGAAATTCAAATTGCAGTTTCTACAGTTTTTGATCAATTTTGGTATTAATGATGGAGGGATTTTCCTGTAAGTTTTTGAATGAATAATTTTTGCTCATCTGAACTGAATTTCTGTGAAAAAAAATGTCTGTTGCCTGTCTTCATAAACTTTTCACATGTTGATCTCCGGTGGAATACTGGGACCATTTTCAGCCGAACATGGCTCAAATTATCCGTGGGTTAAGAGATTCAAGTGTGTTCAAATGAAGGACTACACCCTCTTTAAAGGAGAGATAATTTTAAAAAAGTGAAAATAAGGTGGAATAATTTTAAAATTTCCTCGAGAACCACTTGGCCAAAAGAGATAAAACCCATGTAAAAGCATCCTGACACAGTGTTATCATGGCCCCTGGGGGTATGGTGGAGCCACGATAGGGAATCAAAATTTTAAACAGGAATATATAGGAAAAATATTTAAAAATCTTCTCAAGAACAGCACTGCCATGTAAGTGATATTAAAATATGTATGTATCTTCAGGTAGAGCAGATTCAAGTTTGTTCAATTCGTAGCCCTTGGGGAAAGGATGGGGCCACAATCCACACTTTGCAAAAGTTGTGTGGCAACCAATAGGTCAAAATGAAAAAAAAAACATTTCTCTATATGCTACTAAACATTTTGGCATGCTCAGATAAATCCAATCCATTGTGTTAATTTTTTTTCTTTCAATGTATGGTAGTCCGAAATATCTGACGTTTTCCTGGCTTTTTTACTATTTTTATATTTTACGTGCCAGGAAAACGTCAGAACCGGCGCCATTACAAAAACTGGAAATTTTGTCTCTCCAATCGGAGTTGATTTTCGATACCTGGGAACCGAATTAAATGCCATTTTCACAATTTATCAACAGCACAATGCTTCTAGTACTCACCAATATCGATGAAAAGAAAGCACCACTAATCATTGCAGGACTTGACTCGAACGATTTTAAAATGCACGAAATAAAAACAAATCTCGACAGTCAGATAAAATGTTTTCATCGGATTCTATATTTTATAAACAAATCATAAAAACGATGTTGGTGAGTACTAAAAACATTGTACTAATGATAAATTGTGAGTTTGACTTTTCATTCGCTTTGCAAGTATCGAAAATCAACCTGAGAATGCCGCCTCTGTGGTTGGAGGCGGCGAATTTCCAGTTTTTCGTAACGGCGCCGGCTCTGACGTTTTCCTGGCACGTAAAATATCAAAATCGTGAAAAAAGCCTGGAAAATGTCAGACATTTCGGACTAAATGTATGGGTAGCCCCGTCATGGCCTGGCAATCAATATACAACATGCACAGATTTTTTTCCAGTCAAATGACAAAGTTACAAATCAGAAAAATACAAAGTGTGAGGATTCTGAAGGTTTTCCTCCAGAGATGGCGGTCAAGGGACATAACTTTGAAAAAGTGTGGATTCAACAAAACGGATCAAAGTTTTACATATGGATATATTTATAAAAGAAAAATGTTTAAAATTCTTATTCTCAAGAACAACAGGATCATGAATAGTGATATTAATGTGCAAGCATCCTCAGGTAGAGCAGAGTAAAAAAAATTTGAATTCGTGGTCCCTGGGGGTAGGGTGGGACCACAATTGGGGATCAAAGGTTTACATAGAAATGTGTAGGGAAAATGTTTAAAATTCTTCTCAAGAACAGCAGGGTAATGATTAGTGATCTTAATAAGCAAGCATTCTCAGGTGGTGATATTTGAATTGTTTAAATCATTGCCCTCAGGGGTAGGGTGAGGTCACAACAGTGCATCAAATTTCTTCTTAGGAATATATAGCAAGAAATCATTTGAAGAACAACAGGGCCTTGATTAGTGATATTAATATGCAAGAATATGCAGTTAAAACTTTGTTCAAATCTTGGCCCCTTTGGATAAGATGGGGCCACAATAAGCTTAAGGGAATCAAAGTTCAAATAAAAGACATGCAAAGTTAACAAGCATTCTGAGAGTATTGCATTAGCAATACTAGTCCCCTACCGGCAAGTGTAATCTGGATCCCGTTAAGAATTGAAAATGTCATAATTCCGTCAAAAATTAATGAAGCGGGACGAAATGCAAACTTGATCTATAACTAATCAAGGTAAAGCCACATACCAAAAATCAGCTCAATATCTACAAGCGTTTAGAAGAAAATTGCGGAAAACCCGTAAAAATTGAAAAGGCCGTAATTCCGTCAAAAATCAATGAAGCGGAACGAAATGCAAACTTGATCTGTAACTCATCAAGATACACTCACATACCAAAAATCAGCTCAATATCTGCAAGCGTTTAGGGAAAAAGTGCGGAAAACCAAGTGGGACAGACTGACAGACAGACGGACGGACAGACTCAGAGGAAACCTATAGTCCCCTCCGGTTTCACCGGTAGGGGACTAAAAAGTATTTAACACCCTATTAAGTACATAATTATACAGAAGGGCAGTGTTTAGTGATACATGTATTAATGCAACCATTGCCAGGCAGTGCTTAATCAAGTTCGTTCTAATCATGGATCCTAGGGGTAGGGTGGAACCACAATAAGGGATCAAAGTTTTATCTAGGAAAATATGTAAATTTTAAAATCTGATGAAGAATAGCAGAGTCATGATTACCCCATACGTGGATGAGACTCCAATAATGGATTTTGTTTTGTTTTGTTTTGTTTTTCTCATGGGAACATCTCAAGAAGCAGAGTCATGATAATCATTTTGATATGCAAGCATGCTTTGGTACAGATTCATTTCAATGCAGAGTCAAATTCGTTCAAATGATGGCTTGAGGGATGGGGTGGGCAACAGTAGGAGATTAAAGTTTTCATTGTTTATTTTTTTTTCTTGAGAACATGATTATTCACATGAATTTGCAAACAATGTAAGGAATTTAGAGGGAAAAACTTTTAAGAAGCTTTTCAAGAAAAGCTGGGCTAGTGTGATTCAAAGTGAGCATTGAAACCTATGGGCCTCTTAAAAGATATTTCTTTGCATTAGAATTTGATGTTCCATATTAATGTTCAGCATTTTGAGATCTGAAAGAAACGAAACCCTATATGACTTATTGCAGATGTTTTATTTACACGTCGATCATGCTGTAGTAGTCATAGTTGTCTTGTGCTCACACAAACCATAGCCAGAGACGCCAAGGTGTTGCGTTTCTACGGCCGCGCCGTGAATGTTTGCGTACGTTTCACAATAAAGACCTGCCAAAGAAAAGATGTTCTGTTACACTCGCCTTTGTGTAAGCATTTTGAATCTTTTTTGCAAATTCTGAATGATGAACGTTTTCAATTTCATATACAATTTCTTGGCAAATACTTGTGCTTCCAGTATTACCTCAGAAGAAATGCATGTCTGAAAAATTTTAGCTGTCTTATTATGAAGTTTGACTACCGTTTCCACATCCACAGCTGTGGCGCTCGTTTCCATCCAGACGACATTCCTGTAAATAATGGAGATACTTGTCTACGCAAGTATTATCACCGAACACGTCTGTCACACAGCACCCAGAACGGCAGTCCGCGTCTGTCTTGCATTGAGACCCGAACAGGTCGTCAAAGAGAAAAGCCTGCAAAAACAACTTTGGAATGAGTAAAAGAAACACTTATGGAAAATTTTGCACTTTTCTATTCGGGATACTGCAACGATTTAAGCTTTTTTACTAGTTAGTTGTAAAATGTGTGTATTTCGGTACACCTTTGTGTGACAAAGACGCAGATTGTTGAGAACAACACGAAATGTAATAGCGTAATATGTCATCGTTGTAGCTCGGATATTCTTGTTGATATAATCTTTGACCAAAATAAAATAATTTTAGATCCAACGCATATAAAAAAAGAGGAAAAAATCAGCTGACTTACCTGTGAGTAAGCAATTACGACTAAGAGAAGAAATATTTTCATTTCGGAAAACAGTAGAAAAACCTATTAAACTTGTGTAATGAGAGAGGGCAGCTGTTGAACTTAATATGGACAGAAAACAGGTCGGAATGTTATCTATAAGTACAGCAGAACACAGATAAGGAAAATATTACGCTGCAACAGTTTATTGCCAATCATGATAATTAATTAAAATTATTAATGTTGTAATTTTTTTAAATTAATTTATGATTCTAACCCAGAATCTCTACTGTAGCCATTACATGTACCTGTCATTGTCTTATTAATTGTTTGTTAATACATGTACATGGCTGCAACATTTAAATTGCTTCGGCCATGTTGCCACACTAACTAGTTAAAGAAATTTCATAATTGTGGAATCATGTTGCACATGGCATATACCACGTGTTAATTCTGTATGAATGTGAACTATGCCCTTTAATAATTAGAATGCATTTCTGAAAGATGTGTTTGTCACCAATTTTTGATTTCATCCACTTTTTAAAAACATTTTTTAAAGGGAGGAGTGGATAGAAACTTTCTAATTTTATTTTAGAGCGCAGCTTCATCTGAAATCTGTCTGTCGCTGTCAGGCTCTGAAAAGGGGGTCCGGAAGGGGTATAGCCCCTGTTTTGAGCCAGAGTTTTTTTTATACGAGTACTATTTGGTTGGGTACTAGTCTGTGCATTCTTGAAGTCATTTTTCACTTATTATAATTAAACATGTGTATAATGAATATATGTTGTTTCAAAAATGATATTTTCGAGTTTTTTTAAAGGAGTGCGATCGCACCAGCACAACAACTGCTCCGATGAGTCTGTTAAAGCTTTGCTTAAACATGATTCTGTCAAAAACAAGAAATGTTTGAGAAACATATATTATATGCCCCCCCCCCCTCCCGTGTGGCGATATTAAAAAGGGAACAACTTTAAAAGAATGTCTGTATTGTTAGTGAATCCACTAGTCAGGGGCAAACATTATACTTATTAAACATTATCAAAACGTACGACTTTTTCAACACTTAATACAACCATTCCTCACGATAAAGTGCAGGCTTTTTGACATTATAGACCGCTGTTTTTTCAATAAAAATGGAACTCTCGTAAATATATATACTATCCTTGTAATTGGTCATCTGCTTAATTATTTTGTTAAAAAGCATTCTGATTGTATACACAAGTACTCCGATACAAGTTGATATTAGAAAGATGCTTGAGTTTCTGATTGACAATATCTATGTAGTTTTTGGAGATCAGGCTTTCAACAATCTGCTGGAATTCCCTGGGTTCCGATTGCGCCCCCTTGTTAGCAGACCTATTTTTGTATTCATATGAAGTAGAACTTATTCAAAAACGTCTACATGAGAAGAAGAAAACACTGCTGTGGCCATCAACTCGACATTTAGATACATCGACGACGAATTATCAATCAACAATAGTAACCTCCATTTATATGTCGACTCTATATATCCCAGTGAGCTTGAAATAAAAGATGCCATAGATTCTGAAACATCTGTTTAATATTTGGATATTTTACTAGAAAAAGACTTTCATGGTAACATAACAATCTAACAACAAAGCTTTATGATAATTTTCAATTTTTCAATCGTCAATTTCCCTTACTTATGTAGCAGTATACCCTTATCACCTGCATATGGGGTTTTTGTCTCCAATTTGATTCGATACGCTCGAGCATGCTCTACGTATGAACAATTTCTAAATCAAGACAAACTATTGACAAACAAGTTGATGAAACAAGGATATCACAGTTTCGTTTGAAGTCATCATTTCACAAGTTTTATGGTCGATACAATGACCTTGTCAGCAAATACAACCTATCATTAAGTCAAAATGCTGACTGACGTTTTTCGTGCTAATTGTTAGGTCATTATTTACACACTGAATTGTCTACGTATATTTCCGTTTCTCTCGATCATGACAAGGAGTACAAGGCGGTTGTGACCGGTCGGCAAAGGATGTTCACCCCTCCATGGCACCTGATCCCACCTCTGATGTTTTTGGAGCCCCGTGTTTGCTCAGCTCCCGATTTGTATTGTCTAAAAGGACCTTGAGTTTGAATATTATTCGTTATCTCCATATTTCCTTAGTTTCAATCACACCTCAATATCATTGGGGTAATTTACTTGTACTTCTTAGAGGGTACATGTATCCGTGAAACAAATTTGATTTCTGTAAAATAAATGTTTTTCAAGATACTGAGCTGACAATTTCCTCCTATGTCTAATGTCTAATATGTTTGATGCATGCCCTCTGGCCTTGTGACCACAGAATCAACAGGTGCCTTCTAATTCCTAGGGGAAACCTGTGTACCACGTTTGATAGCTGTCAAGCAAAGGCTTTTCAAGATATTGAGTGGTCAATACCTTCCTAGTCCAATTTGACCTTTGACTCTATTAAAGTACTTTGACCCTTAATATTTGACCTTGTGACCTCAAAATCTAGAGTGGTCATCTACTCTGCAGTGGATACCAGTGTACTAAGTTTGATGTCTGTCAAAAAAAAGGTTCTCGGGATACTGAGCGGTCAGTATCCTCTTTCCAGTTTGACCCTTATCCTTTGTTCTTGTGACAACAAAATCAATAGGGTTCAGAGGATTCCAATGTACCAAGGTTGATGTCAGCCAAGCAAAGGGTTCTTAATATATTGAGCAAATAATATTTGGTCTACCGACCGACCGACTGGTGCAACGCAATGTTTTTTCAAGGAGGACATAAAAAAAAATGAGATCAATTTAAATTTTTTTTTCAAATAACCCATTTATGGAAAACATACAAAGCAAAAATACAACATATTTTCAATTTTATTTAGCAAAGTCTTTTTTAAATGTAGTTCATTAGCATTTATGCATATACAACATCGTTCTCTCTTGGTTGCCTTGTGTTAAATGTTTTATCATCTTGGGCTTTAATTAAGAGTCATATGTTTGGCTAACTTCAACTTAACAAGATAAAGAAAACAGCCATACTCTCACGGAGTTTTCAGCACTTCAGTTTGTTTATCGCGTCCCGCTTCTCTTTGTTTAGAGCACTATAAATGTTTTGAAATAAGTGCATTGCATAAGAACACACACACGTTTTTTTTTTCTTTCCTGGATTTGATTTATTAAAACTGTAACTCGGGAATGTAAGATTTGTGTGAAAACTCCTGGTCAGTTGAACACCTTTCGTGGTTGTATCGAATTTCTTCCTCACCTGGTGACTCCGAAAGATTTGAGGAGATACATTTTTCTTCTTAAGTTGGAGTACATTCCACGTCGGTTTGTTTATTAACGTGGATCAAGTTTTTACTATCATTTCATTTGCAAATCTCCTATTTTGTGAGACCTGGGTTTATCGTATCTTTCAATTTAAAGGGCCCCAATTCCCGGAGGAGAATCCGACTAATAAGTAAAGACTGGTTCCGCAACGGTGACTGCACTGAATTGTCAAATCGAGATGTGACGAGGGGAAAAGCAGGACTCTTGTTTCTAAAAATGATGGATACTTGGTCAGAATGAAGGTTCTGTCAGTTTATCTGGGCATCTTGTTTTTCCTGAGTACAGTAAGTGCAAATTTCATAAATTTGTTCACTTTGGAAATTATTTTTTAATAGAATCAAATTCTAATAACCTTCCCATGTTGAAGTATCATGCGAATTTTCAGTTGTTACGTGATGTAAGGAACAGTGTTTATCAATATTGTGATAGGTGTTTACTGTTATATTGACTTTACTTATTTTGTGTGTTTTAAATCTGAGATCTTACGTTTGTTCTCCTGTTTTTTTTTTTATCCTTGAGCTTATGGGAAATGTTCAATTTAATTGGGTATAAAGTTACAATGTAAATTAGTACAGCGACTTTCAGAATTTCGGAGCGTAACAAAGGTCTGATTTTAATCAGATTGGAATTTAATAAAATTTTATTTTATTTTTGAACATGAAATTCAGCGTAAAAATTTCAAGGTCCTTTCAATCGTATTTTTCTTCTTATCTTGACCTTCGGATTGCATGGCTTGTAAAATTTTAGTCTTGAATTGCACATATAGAAGGACTAGTGGCTAATGTCAGAATGTGAGGGTGAAAAGTTGTTATGTATACGTAACATCAGGGTCGGACTCGCTTATATTCTGCACATCCTAAGTTCGCTTCATGTATATAAATTTATGTTTTTTGGTGTTTTAAATTATTTTATATATACAACAACTGGGGCATGTCACTTTCTTTATATGTATATAATTCTGTAATTTCTCGCTCTTTGCTTGACAATGGACGTCGAGACGATGGTATTTTTTTTCTTTTTAGACGTGAAAGTTTACACAAGGAAAGCCATGTATTTCTCTAAACAAGAGATAACATTTAAACAAATGGTTCTTATGAACAGTCCCAGATACCGCCTAATAACTGGAAGGGAATTAAAAGGCCAATACCCCCCATTAGGAGTCTATCAGATTCAATTAACCTTGCTATTCTCTCTTTTCCTATCATTTTTCAATTATCAATGTACAAAAATAAAGTTAACTACGAATTATATTCGTGTTGTCTGCACATGAACCGAGTTTTCGTTAATGATTTCACAGATGTATACATTACGAGATTTCAACAATCAAACACGATAAGCAAACATGCTAAACTTAGCAGTGTAGAAGTTTACATTTCTGAGATAGAAATAAAAAAAAATCCCCATATTTCAATGATTAGATCAATTTTTATGACTATGTGCTATCTCCAATGTTGTTAACCATAGAATCTTAAGTTTAGGATTGTTTGCGATCTAAATGATGTACCTTAATCATTTTTACAAAATATTGAAAAAATTAAAATTATAATTAACATTGATGTTATCGAATACCATCATTCTTGTTTTTAACATCCAATAAATCTTTCTAACTAATCGTCAAATTATCTGGCTATACACCGTTGAATGTGACGTTTTCTGTTCCTTTCCTGAAGGTCACAAGTGACTTGTGGAGTCCTTGGTCACCATGGAGCACTTGTTCCCGCACGTGTAATGGTGGCGCCTCCTATCGGACCAGACGATGTATCAAAAACCAGCATATAGTATATGGCTGCCGTGCAGAAGATGTTCAGTATAAATTATGTAATGCTCAGGTAATATCATTAAGGGACATGTTCATGCAATGTCATGCATCTGAAATCATTTATCATATAGATTATGACCGAATTTCTATTGTATACGTCATAAGGGGTGTATGCGGGTCATATACATGTATATAGTAAACTTAATGCATGTAATGTGGAACTCTTTTATTATAGAAATGAAAAATATTTTTTGACGTAAAAATATTCGAAGAAAGATGTAAGTATTATAAAGCTTACATTGTAGATCTGTAACAATGAGGTAGGACTACAAAGAGCCTTAGTGACGTCAATATCCACACACTATAAAGAGAGAACAAGTGTAAACCATTGTATCTGTACTCTCTGTATTGGAAGTATATTGCAGGAAACATACAGCATTAGATTCCTCTAAAAAGTCAATTAATATGCTCCTTGAATAATTGCATTGCAATCCTAGTGTACAGCCACAGCGACAAAGATCTTATTCAAAAGGCAAAATTCGAGTGGTTTGTTGGAAGAGATAGAGGATAGAGAACCTCTTTGATTGGAGTATTGTTAACTGAATGTTTTCTGTAGAAGTAAGGACTCCCACAGCATTTGATTTTTTTAGAAAGAGAACTTTAGTGTAAAGAACTTGTTCATTCGATTCTTGTTAAGTGATATTGTATTTCGACTTTAGATGCCATTGTTGGCGTGGGTTTGGGAGTTTAAACAAACAGTATATTTTAAAACCTTTTCCAATTGTACAAGTCTTCGCTATTAATTGGGCGTTAATTTTTATATCAGCTTTCTTTGGTTAAAAACTTCTTAAACTTTTCCGCAATACGTTTCTGTAGAATTTCATGAATCTAGAGACCATCAGAAATAAATCTGAGCATGTCTTGTATTTTTTTTTTTTTTTGAGAGAGAAATAAGGATAAAAGATAACTTACACGAGGCATATACATAAAAATGTCTGTTTAGATAGTGAAGAAAAGTTTGTTTACTGTTATCATAGTGTACAATATCTGCCAGGGAAGAAAAATAGGTTGTAATGTATCCCTCATCGTTAAGAATTGGATTGTTATTTATGTTTCATACATATCCGCCCATCTTCATTAATATCTGTTTAATAACAGAGGCTGGACAAACAGGGTGCGCACTAAAGAGCGATTTATCCCTATAAATGACCACTACGCTGAGGTCTGGCGCGTCAGGTTTCAATTAGCCACATACTGAGGGAGCCATTCTATCATTTGTTACATGATATTTTTTTGTTAAATCTTTCTCACACCCATGAGGAAAAGAGGAAGAAAAATTGACATTACGAGAAATTAAGATCTTTAGTCTGGTATTGTACATAGCCACCCTGATGGTGCCTGGCTGTAGATCTGCGAATGAACCTATTAAGGAAATGTATACCTGGTACATTTACAATTTTTTCCCCTTATCTCCTTATTAAGAGACATTCTTTGCGAGTATTTTATCTCTTATATGGGTCATACGCATAGTCAGAGAATTTCCTGAAATTTCCTATGATAAAAGTATGCGATACTTTTAACTCATATCAGGTTAATATTGGTTGATACGTGTCAGGGATACCAATGGCAACATGTTTAGAGTCTAATCATTTAAAGAAGAAAAGTGACAGTGACTGTTTCCAAAAGTCGAAGATATTTTGGAAAATAACCATTACATATGTTACTATGGAAACAAAGTATTGAAAAACATTTTTTCTCACTCATTTTTATTAATCATACATTCAAAATTTAAAAGCAATCAAAAGTTCTCATATAACCAAATAATAGGGAAAGATCCTTGTAACATATCTTAATGTGATATTTTTATGTTGGTTGGCAATACTAGTAGATGCTATGTCAGTAATACCGAAAAGTTATTTCTAATTAACTCTCTATGTTTTCATTGGTTTCTATCTTTTCTGTATAACTGGAAAGCAATTTATATAGGCAATAGTGTGGTATAAATTTCCACTTTTCAAAAGTTCTAAACTTGTTTCCTAATGTACATGTATACTTTAAACCAATACGATGTTGTTTCCATGGTTACCATAATTATAATAAGAACTTCCTATATTTTTATACTGCTCTCTGAGTTACAAGGTCTTAAAGATATATATTTTGAAATTTCTATTCTCCATGTTTTTTTTTTCTCCATAAGATGACATTATTTTTCAAATCTAGTCCACAATTTGTGTGTCGCAATGCTGTGTTATCATGATATTTATTTTTAGAATAATATTGCTATAAGTCATGATTAGTCATATAAGGTCAACTGTTTTTATTGTTTCTTTACATCGGTTATCGAGTTTGGTCATGTAGCTCCTGTAATTAGTAAATGTTGTCAAATGAGTGTTTTTAATAATATAAAATGTATGCCAAATGTAGCCATGATTACAAGTTTCCACATTTATAAGAATGTATTCCAAACATTTCTTTACGTCATAAGTGGTACTTAGGTACATTGTTTTTGTGTGAGTGGTCAATTTGGTTTTCTAAGTCCTTCTTAAGGACAAATGATACAAACAAAAAAATGGATACCTGGATTGGTATATATTTTGGGTCCTATTTTGGTTGTAAATGATGCAAATAATTAATTTCTAAATTATTAAGAAATTGTAAACTTTCTACGGTGTTTAAAATTCTACCTTTCTGCAACCATCCTTATTATTCTATACAAGTTTTTATCACTTTAAATCCCATTATTGTTAAGATGTGAATGAAAAATCAAAATCTATTCGGTAAAACTTATTCATTTTACTTATATAAACATGACTCAAGTTGTTATTTTCAAAATTTTTGATAAAAGTTTGTTTGTATCATCTGTCCATAAGGCTAAGTAAAAATTCAAAGTATATGAAAACCTCATTTTTTTTTTAAAATTTCTGCATACATGTAACAACCAAATTTTGATTGCCTTATGTTTCTCAACTATAATAATGAACCAAGTTTCATCATAATCGGTGACCGTGCGTGCTTTTTTGGCACGCATGGTCACCGATTATGATGAAATTTTCATTAAAAAAAATCAGCTGATGAAGAACAGCAGGGTCAAAGTGACTCGGTTGTGCATTGTGGCCCATGGCCATGTGTCTCTTGTTTCAAAGATAATGCAACAAAATATTTATTTTGGCAAAGAATAACTTGATCTTTATTAATCAGGAATGTATTTTGGATGACCCTGATTTCCGGGCTGTTCAGTGTTCGTCCTTCAATAACCAGCCATATTCAGGGAGGTTTCTGAAATGGATCCCCTACCATGACTCCACCAGTCCCTGTGCCCTATACTGCCAGGCAGTGGGGTCTAATATAATCCACAGGTTCGCGGACAAAGTACTTGATGGGACGAGATGCCGTAATGGTTCCAAAGATATGTGCATTGATGGCAAGTGCTGGGTAAGTAGATAAACATGCACTTTGTTATAGTTTTCAATTCACCACAATTAAGGTTCTATTTATGATTATAACACCCCTACAACTTTTAACTAATTCATAAAGTCACACTTGAAGAAAATTCGCTGTTTCGTCTTGGTTGCATCTATGACCAGAGATAAGAATGAAGTTTTCGGAAAGCTAATGGTTGGGGTTGCGTGACATAATTATATTTTATAATGTCTTGGGATATTTAACGTTGATCTAACAGATAATATGACATTTTGTAGCACGTAGGATGTGATAATGTACTTGGATCAAAAATAGAGATGGATAATTGTGGTGTTTGTGGGGGAAACAATTCGTGTATTTCCCCGACTTTTGCCAAATTTCAGTGGAAACAATCAGGATTTGGTGAATGTTCATCGACTTGTGGTGTAGGTAACACGATTTTTTCATTTTCTCGTGCAATTGAACGTCACTTTTTGTTCTTTTAGGAACTCATATCTAATCAGACAAATAAACTTTTATAAGAATTGTTTAAATCTGTAAAATTCTTGAAATTTTTTTCTCAGAAAAGTTGCTAGTATTTTAAAGTAAAAATAGATTAGTGTGATTTCTTACCCAATCTGTAAGTAATTAACTCCGTAGCAGAATTTAATCTTCCATAAGTTTTTTTTTTCATCAAGGATATAGAAGAACAAGAGTGGTTTGTAATAATCGAGTAACAGGGAAACAAGTCAGCAATAAAAGATGTATGCGAGAGAGAAGACCACAAACGTACACACAGACCTGTCAAATACAGGAATGTGGAGAGAGGTAAGAGGACCACAAACGTACACACAGACCTGTCAAATACAGGAATGTGGAGAGAGGTAAGAGGACCACAAACGTACACACAGACCTGTCAAGTACAGGAATGTGGAGAGAGGTAAGAGGACCACAAACGTACACACAGACCTGTCAAATACAGGAATGTGGAGAGAGGTAAGAGGACCACAAACGTACACACAGACCTGTCAAGTACAGGAATGTGGAGAGAGGTAAGAGGCCCAAAAAATGTACACACAGACCTGTTAAGTACAGTAATGTGGAGAGAGGTAAGAGGACCACAAATTTACACTCAGACCTCTCAAGTACAGAAATGTGAAAGAGGTAAGAGGACCACAAACGTACACTCTGACCTGTCAAGTACAGGAATGTGGAGAGAGATATGAAGACCACAAACGTACACTCAGACCTGTCAAGTACAGGAATGTGGAGAGAGGTAAGAGGACCACAAACGTACACTCAGACCTGTCAAGTACAGGAATGTGGAGAGGGGTAAGAGGACCACAAACGTACACTCAGACCTGTCAAGAACAGGAATGTGAATGAGGTAAGAGGACCACAAACGTACACTCAGACCTGTCAAGTACAGGAATGTGGAGAGAGGTAAGAGGACCACAAACATACAGTCAGACCTGTCAAGTACAGAAATGTGAAAGAGGTAAGAGGACTACAATGTACCCTCAGACCTGTCAAGTACAGAAATGTGAAAGAGGTAAGAGGATTTCAAACATATACTCAGACCTGTCAAGTACAGGAATGTGGAGAGAGGTAAGAGCACCACAAAACCACAAACATACACTCGGACCTGTCAAGTACGGGAATGTGGAGAGAGGTAACAGGACCACAAACGTACACTCAGACCTGTCAACTTATACCTTCATGTAGAAATTATTTGTAACAGTTGTGATGAAGAATTCACATTAAAAAATAAATAAATAACAACAATTACGTAGTAATATCGGAAATATCTTAATATCGGAAAGCATTAACTTATATTCTCCGATCATGATTGTTGAAAGCATTTTGGTCACAGTTTTGGGGTTCAATTTGTGGGCAATAAAATTTTTCTATATCGTTTAGCTTACTATACAAAAATGTTCTTATATTTAATAAATTCTTATTAGTTTTAGGTACGACTGGGTGTATGGACGCTGGAGTAAATGTTCGTGCTCTGTAAAATTCACACGGAGAGCCAGACGATGCGTTAAGTTTTATACGAATTCTTCCCAAACCTATGTGAATGAAACATTCTGTAACACTCTGACACCAGAGGCCAGAAGATTGTGTGACAGGAAGTTCTGTCCTGTTTGGCATGTTGGCCATTGGTCACCAGTAAGCAATATTTTATAGATTGAAAATTAAGCCTTATAAAATGGAAGTATTTCAATAATGTAATAGTTTACAGGTATTGTTTATTTTTGAGCCAGATCAAATAAAAGCTGGCAACGTGAACGGTGCCATCGGGTACTATAATATATAAAGCATACTATGATAACGGGAACTGCATTTTTGTGAATGTTTGAACATGTAATATTAAAAGTGTATAAAGAAAAAAAACAGAAATGTATGAATAAAGTATTCTGGAAGAATAGAACATAAACCATGTTATTCAATCTAAGTCTGCCATTAGGATAAAAAAGGGTATATATTATGACGTCATAATTAAAAAAAAAATAATTCAAATTCACATACGAAATTTGGATACAAAAGATATAACGCGAAAATCTCGAGAGATCTCAACATTTGGACCTGAAATTCCAAAACTGGTAATATATTGTTCTCGTGTTTTGTTTTGTTTTTTTCTTTTCTTTTGCTTTTATTTAACATACTACTTCAAAATTAGCCATAATATTTATTATATTATAGTGACAAGAACATTTGCTTTTGTAAGATGCTTTATCTCAGTTTTTTACCATATATTATATTAAATAGTTCCCATCAGGATTTTAGTCTCAAAAGTGATTTTATTCTTTCCTTGCACAGCAAAAAGTAACCGCCACTCTATTTTTCTTTTTATAGTAGCCTAAGCACTAAACGGCAACGCGATACTATAATTTACATGAATCTCCTGTTAGTGATACATGTACTCTGTGATTTAACACCAAAAATATTTAAAAAGTTGAAAGATTTATTTAACCTTGACAATGTTATCATGAAAGGATAAATCGTGTTCGTGTACTATATGCAACTACTATATTTGCTTTCTTTGATTTTTGTTGTTGGTTTCTTTTCTTAAAAAAAAAAAGAAAGAAAAGAAAAACCATTACATTTGGAATAAAATGTAACGTTTTGAGCTTGGGAAAGACATTGGTACGACACGACTTGTTTGCAGCATAAAATGAGGTCAATTTCTGCAATATATCGCAATTTTCATTAATTTCAAAAGTTTTAAGTATGATTCGAAGTAAGTGCATAAATCACACATAAAGAAAGAAACCAAGGTTTCTAGGCAGTTGCATCGTCTCCATTAAAGTGGCAATGCATTGAACCGGAAGTTTCAAGTGACCAGAAGTATTGCTGATCTTTGTCGACAGTCAAGATTTCGGGTAACTACTGCTCGTCGATATCGTTACTTGGTGATTTCGCATTTTTCAAAAATCTGGATTTATGTGTCGAGCAGTTATCCATTAATTTTATCAGTAACTTAACCAGTATCAATTACTAAATAAATGGAATGAATAATTTAAGAAAAAAATTGTATTTAAACAATTTTAAGATGTGACCCCTATAATTAATATCACAAATAAAAAATGCTCTGGTACATGTACATGTTCATAAGATTGGCGGGTTAGAAGTTTTGATTAGTATACATTTATTGATTATGAATTACAGTGTTCTGTATCATGTGGTGACGGTGTTCAACGTAGAGGTGTCGTCTGCCAACACTTTGGAAGAGAATTTTGTGATCTAAAAACTAAACCCATAACAGTTCAATCTTGTAATACTACTCCGTGTCTAGTTCAAAGAGGTATGTATCACATTTTAAAACAAAATTAAAATTTGCCTGACTTGCTTTGGAGGTATGGTTATTATTAAATTATGTCATTGGGTAAAGGTGTCTAAATATTGCTAGAATATAGGATGTCTGTCTTAGAGCTTAAAATCATTCTACAAGAATTTTTTTTAACAAAATCAGAACTTTATAAAGTTTCTGTCGGGCAAAGTGCTTTTAATTATATTTACTAGTATGTGTTATGTGATACATCATTGGTACTTGGTTGCCTTTACTTTATACATGGCTTGCTTGACATTAGTTTTTATTGCTTGTTCTTTTAAAGATTCCAGCTATGCAGATTACATGCTTAAAGGTATGGTGTTAAGATGAAGCAGCATGATAGTGCATTTTTGCATACATCTAACATATCAAGTATTCAAATGCCAGATATATACATTTCAAACTGCGCTCAGCATCTTCATTTGTAAAGTATGAGGATTAAATCAACTCTTTTACAATATTTAAAGATTTTACAATCAGACAATTAATAACTTGATGTATTTGAAGATAGAAAAGAAAATGGAAAGCTTAATTGTCATGAGAAATAGAAAATTGTTGATAAAAAATTCCACTGCGTTTGGCGTTCTCTAAATGAAATTAATTTATAATAAATTTTGTATAATATCTAGATTTACAAGAGGTAGTGATTGGGGAGTCGGACAGTGAGTCGATAAAACGAATACCACCCCAGAACATCACAGACAAGGAACCACGCCCAAGGTTTGTGTGTGAGAGAATAAATGTACCTCGCCGAGTAAAGAAAATACGATCATAATGTAAATATAGGCGGAACTACTACGTGAAACAGAATACTACAGGCAAATAAAATTTGTTTTTAAAGCACAATAGTGCTGTAATATTACGCTGCTAATAATTCCTAATACAATTTTAAATCATTTGGGGTGGGCTTAGTAAATGTACAAGGTCACATGTATTCAATTACAAATGATGGGGAATAAATTTCTAAAGTTGTATGGAGCACAGCACAGATTTTATAAAAGAAATGAAATAGAGATCGTGGTCCAGATTTTAAGTTCGTGTTGTAATAACTCTATTAAGATTTTAGATAACATTCCATATGAGTTGAATTACCTATTTTTAACATAAACTAATTAATGTGAATATATTTTATGGCAATGAACCTATAAACAGTACTGAAGGCAGGTTGATCTATTGAAAACATATTTATAGACTGAAAAAAGCAATAGTGTTTGTTCTGGGGCATTGGAAGGTAAATTATATAATTTTAAATCCCGTTAGATATATGGCGAGAGAATGGCAGTCCTGCAGCGTCACGTGCGGAAGAGGCCGGAAGTGGCGTTACGTAAAATGTCAAGTTTATGTCCCAAACACTGGTAAAATGTCAGAACTTCCGGACGAGGAATGCCCTGGTGAATAATTCATTTGTTGTTTTGTTCAGAACTTCAATAAATTCAGCAACTTAAATTCTTTTTTCAGTGTTCGATAGAAATAAAGAATATCAACAGCTGTTGCAACCTTTAAAATTTTCTCATTTTCTTTCGTACATATTATGTAAACCAAGAATTTGCTTTTAAAGGATTAAAGCCTTTGACATCTTCTCCTTGTGTAATAAAGGATTGTGTAGAGCAGTTTGAGTACCGCAGCGTTGGCATGACGTCATGTAGTCGCAGTTGCCTTGGTGGTAAGTGTTCTCCTCAAGGCACTGGATACAAATGAAAAGCAACTTGATGATGTCAGATGACAGTAACATGTAGGGGTTTAACTCAAAATATACTCTCTTTTATACCTAGATAACTAGTGAAAAAGCAATTATAATAGTTAGTCCATAGTTAACATAAATATATACAGATATCAAACTGATTATAAAATGCTCCACAGGTCTTTTATGTTAGTACGTACTATACTATTTCATACAATAAATTAATTACTAGTCTGAAATAAAAGAATTTTATTAAGCATGGATTCCGTACATGTTTAAAAAGGATTTTTGAAAATCAGTTTTTTTTGATATTTTTTTCGACCACCAATAAACTTCCTTGAAAAAAATTCCGAAACCTTATTGCAAATCTACAAAACACACCAATTATATTCTCGAAATTGATTTGGCTGTAGCATTAAATGTTTAAGGAGTTTTCGGAATATCGTTTTATGTAGAAAAAATGTAATTTTGGCCCCCGATTTAAGCCTTCCCTATGAAACCAAAAATTCCGAAACCGTATTGCCAATAAAGGACATCACCAATTATATTCAAAAGATGAAATGGCTACTGCAAACAATTTAAGATGAATTCTGGGATCCGATTTTATAAGGAAATATTCTTTTTTCGACTCAATTGGCCCTTAGGATGAAAATGTCATTCCTGAACCCCACCCAAAAGCTTTCTTCAATCCTCTGAAATCTGATAAAATAGTTGTTTTCCCGGTCCGTCCGTCACATTATCTTCATCCTCCATTTCCTCTAAGTTTTCAGAATTTCCTTGTTCATCCTGGTAAGGGGGAGGAGGGCAAATTTTGGGCCGAAAAAAAACTTGTACCAAGAAAACCACCTTGAAACCGAAAAACGACGTCTTCTAAAAAATGTTTCCAAAACTCTTCGTTCATTTCACACATTAATTAAATTCTTGTTCTGAGTTATGATTGGTGGTTTCTTGCAAATGTGCAATAAGTTTCGGAATTTAATTTTTCCTGCAATGGGGGCAATTTAAGGACCGAAAATATGACAAACTCCTTTTTAACAGAATTTATTACAATGGGCCACATGCTTACCTCAACATTTTATGCTCAATTTATACATTTATATGTAAGATATAACAATTGTTATGACTTCTTCGCTAGTTAGATACAAAGTAGAGAACTATAAGAGTACATTTAGAGGCAAACACTTACGTTCAGGTATTGAAGTCTTAGGAAGCTGCTGCTGTAAGATGTTTTACCTAATATTAAACTTTATGAATATTATGTGACGTTTTGTAAAGAAACTCAACTTACCGGATGTTGATAGTTGAAATAAACATATTTTAAGTGACAAGATCAGTTTTTTTCCCTATATTTTAGGATTATTTTCACTAATCTTGATGTTCCAGGTGTACAACAAACAATAATCAGATGTGTGAATGTATATAACGGTTCCACTGTGGACGATAAATATTGCAGTAATGCAAAACTTGTTCCCATTGAAAGGAGAGTGTGCAATGATATCAATTGTCCACAGAGGTAATGCTATTTTTTTTTTTACTTTGTGTAGTATTTTGACTGAAAACCTCTTTACCCTTTTCGTTGTTTACCCAAATATTACACTTTTCAATTTTGATATTTTTTTTAATAAAATGCAACCAGATATCGTGAATTGTAAAGATAATTTAAAAATTGCACGTCATATTTAGATGGAAAATTGGTGATTTTGGGATGTGCTCAGTGAGCTGTGGCGGTGGAATAATGCACCGTGACGTAGAGTGCATCCAAGAATTTGCAGCTAGATACAGACACGTGATCCACCTACCAGACAACATGTGTGAGCAGCCCATCCCAACACGTAATAGAAAGTGCAATAAAATAGACTGTCACTCTGAGTGGATGACAGGTGCTTGGTCACAGGTAAAACATATTTGTATTCAGATATAGGGAAACCTGGGAAAGATGTGTAGTCTTTTGCAAGCATCTTTTTTTTGTATGGTTATCAATCAACGGAAGCGTATTGCTGTTACTTGAAAATATTTTTGCTATGTTGTACGTACGAGATACTGTAGGGTTATTTTCGCCCCGTGTTTCAAAGTTTTTCGTATTAATTATAATCATTTTATTGTGAATTTTCCATTTGTTTAAAGAAGATGGGCGAACAAGGCGAGCGAAGTGCCTATAGTGCAACAAACATGAAGGTGAAAAATTAAATCTCAACAATAACAATTTTTTCTTTGAGATTTCATCTAACATTAAAGTACACTTTATGTAAAATTTCCACAATTTGCAAAAATCCCACGAAGTTTGAAATTATTTGCCTATGAAATAGCATTCACACACTAAAGATGACAAAAAGGATCATTTTCTCACACTTTAACAAAATGTTTTGATATGAGTGGGTCTTCGCTCCATTTTTTTTGAAAGGTTATCATCAAAGTTTGCTTAAAACTATACATTTTTTGGTAAACAAAAACATGGAGCAAAGACCCACTCTACCTTAAAAATACACTTTTATGACATAACATTCGCATCTTCTGAGAAATACTTGGTCCATTTAGTCAAGGGTCATATCGCAAACATAATTTAAATGCCACTATTCATCAGGAGTTGTGTAGCGTAGTGGTTGGTCTTAGGATACTCAGGATTTTTATTGCTAGGGGGTTCGATCCCAACGAATACCACAATTATTTTTAATAACAGAATAAATTTTGCCGGGAAATTTTTCCTCAGAAAAGTTTTGTTTATCATAATTTCATGAATTTCAATATAGAAAACTTTACTCTAAATACTAATTTCATAAACTGAATTAAATTTTTTACATATCTGAAGATATAGGCATTCTGCACGCCTTGTTCACCCATCTCCTTTGTAGTTTGTTCAACTTCTTTTGCCATACATACAATGTATGTGACATATTCAATTGCACGCATATTCTGTTTTGCTTCTTTGGATTAATGTTTCTCTTAAGAATTTTATGAATTTTTTTAGTGTTCGGTAACATGTGGTTCTGGATATCAGTCACGTGATGTGTACTGTATCAAAAAGAATGCTAAAGGTCATTATATCAATATAACATCGGATTTATGTGATTCGAACAAGCAGCCAATAGATGTTCAAAACTGTAATCAAACTGTGTGTCCAAAACCAAAGTTAAGGTCCCTTGATGTGCAGTTCTTTCAACTAGACAAACTAAAACGAGTGAAACTTACTATTGGAATGTCAGCGGTCATATTACCAGGAACAACAATACTAATTAAGTGTCCAACACGGGGGATACAAATACAAGATATCAAGTGGCTTAAAAATGGAACCTTTATTACATATTCTGGAAGAATCAAATTAACTCGAAAGAGATTCTTGAAAATCAAAAACGCGATTCCAGAGTTTGATTCTGGGACGTACTCCTGTAAGGCAGGGTCCCTGCAATCGACTTCTAGTGTCACCTTTAGCAGTGTGTACGACATAATTAAAGCTACAATGCGAAGGGAGAAATACCTCTCTGGACTTCAGCCATTAAATTTAGTTGCACGTAGTGTGCCCACAAAACAGATTGACCCAGTGTCGAGGCGGTACAGGCCCCTGTACCTTGTTCAGTCGGAATGGCGTTCGTGCTCTGCTTCGTGTGGTGGCGGGTTACAGTCACGAAATGTCAGTTGTGAGATCATTACGCGTGATTATTATGAAGTGTTTCCGGTGAGATATTGTACTAGAGCTGGACACAGTGCACCAATGTTGATTCAAAGCTGTAATACATTTCCTTGTGTTGAATGGCAGCGAGGGAACTGGTCAGAGGTATATTAAAATTTTATATACACATACACATGTAAAATCAATTATGAAAACGTTTCAAGGCCAAAATAAAAATTACCTTTGTTTCCCCTAACGCGACCGACCCAATTAAAACGCGCCGACTGGAAAGTTTTTTTTCCTAAGATTATTCAAATACTTTTTTTAAGTTTATCAACTTCTATAAAATAAAATTCCATCAAATCTCTTTTTAATCAGATCGGATGATTTTGTTCTGTGATTTTCAAGCGTTTATTGGAAACAAAATAGCGCCTACAACATATGGTCACGGAGGGTTAGTTCGTGTTTTAAAAGAAAGGCAACGCATCAACCTTATGCCTTTAGCATATTAGAATCCTGCACTCTTGAAACACTTTGTTTATAAAATATAATATCCAATGATTAATTGAAAGTGTTTGGGTTGTATTTACTAGCCTGTCTTAAAATTAAGGTACGTAGAGAGCATGCTTAGGCCCATAGGCCCTCCTCGTGATACCCCTCATGAGCAGACAATGGGCCCACCTTGTGAAAACACCAATCAGTTTCATTGCGATTTATTTGATTTGAGTTTTGATCTTATACACAGTTCATCTATATTCCAATGTTTACTATATGGGGCCATAGGAGTTGTAAATGCATATTTCATCCTAATGAATAGAATTCAAATGTCCTTTATTCCCGCCTTTTAATCATGGGTTAAACTTCGTAACTTTGACATTGTGTAAGACATGTTATCATTTTTAGATATTGTTTGCCTCAATTAAATATTGTTAACATGCTTTTTCCAAATAGATTTGAAATTATGTTACAAGCTTCCTGAGACGTCCGTGTATTTTTCTTTAATAAGGCCCTGGAAGATTGGTTGTTTCTTTGATTTGAATCTATTTGATAATTGTTGGGACAACAACATTTATTTAAACATTTGTCTGGTGAAGGACTCCAAATTTAGACGTGTACGTGGCACCTAAGGCCATGAGCAATGAGGATTGTTTTTCCCGTGCCAGTATCTAATGCGTAACTGGACCTAAGTTTTTACTGTGCCATTCGAAGAACTGTTCTCAACGTCCCGCATTAGGATTTGAACCTGCAACTTAGAAATAGCTCCTTACATCGAGACTCTAAAATGAAATGCTCTAGCAGCACTGCACAATTCGAAGCCTTTGAAAAAGTACAAAGCAATGGAAGCTGATAGTAGGTATAAAAAAAATACTCTGGTGTCCAGTCTTTGCGTACCAGAGAATCTTTTAAACAGATGTATTCGATTTTTAACAAATTTACTCTTGTATGAGATGGTTCGATTGAATAATAGTTGTGAATTAATTTACCTTAAATGTTGAGTTTAATCTGCATTTGTATGGTATTCTATCTGTTTACAAATCACTTTCTTTTGTACTTAACTTATTTATAAAGATATCATTCCATTAAATTTTAAGAAGGTATTTTCAAAGCTGCTGTCAAAAAAAAAAATATTTGCCTACCTACCTACCCATCTTGAGATTTTAGGGTCGGGTTAGGGGAAACAAAGATATTTTTAATGATGGCCCAATGTTCTTTTTTTATTCATTCATTCAACAATACATATTTCTTTTGTAGTGTTCTTCAAAGGAATGTGTGAGGGACAAAGTTGCTTTGCAAAGACGAGAAGTGAGTTGTATATCAAACGGTCAAATCATGAATGATACTGATCATTGTGACAGACTGGGAACGGTTCCTCCTTCAGAAAAGGAGTGTTCCAATAGTGACTGCAAAGCTGTCTGGACTGCATCGAAATGGACTCGGGTAAGGTAACTTTACAAATACATAAAATTAGCAATTACATGGTACATGTATTTACACTGTAAGCTTAATCTGTCTATGATGTTTTACAATTTCCATATGTGGAAAAAGATTATTAATATCGAAATAGCAAGTGTATAGACCCTGATTAGTACATAATCGAGAATTCAATGGTTTTCTGTCTATTTGTACCTCAGAGAAGATGTTTAAAAGAAACATCTCTTGTTATTCCTGTAATAAGATGTGGTCCTTGAACACCAATGTAATGGTTATATTTTGAAATGGTTATAAATTAAAACTTCATGATAATTGTCTTGGAGATTATCGAACTCATGATAATTTTATTTATTCGTAAACTTTAAATATTATTTGTTCAGGGAGTATTTAATTTCCACATCTGTGTCTTTGGATTGTTGTTTTATCTTACCTGAGCTGTAAGCCCAAGAAGCTTTTCTGAAGTCTGTCTGTCCATCTGTCTCTCTCTTTCATTTGTAATTTTTGCACAATTTAATTTCTCTAAAACCTCGAGGCCAATTTAGACCAAACTTGACAAAGAGCATCGAAGCACAGAGGGAATTTAAAGTTATTCAAATGACGGGTTATGCGCTTTTTCAAAAGGAGACAAAAAAGAAAAGGCCAAAAATAGGGCAAGGGTTATTTTAAAAGTCTTCTTCTGAACGGGCATATTTAAAAATCATCTTGTTGGGATTTTTTTCAGCAGGTGTTTTTGCAGTTGGCTGGGTCACTCTTAATGAAAATTCACACAAACGATAATGACCAAGTCTAGTGTATTCTTCAAAATTTTCAATTAATTTTTTCTCAGTGACTGATCAGCCAATCTTTTATAAACTTTAAACGTCTGTTCTTTACATTGATTGATTGTTGATTATTGTCTAACGCCGAGTCGGCAATATTTCAGCCATATTTCGGCGGAGTTCTTTACATTGTGTCAAAATCGTTTCTACGAAAAATGCAATTGCTTGGACAAAGTTTTTCATATTACCGTGAAAACATAAGGGGGGATTTGCTTAGTTGCTTACTCTACTTTTCGAATATTGTATTAATGGGGTCATTTCGGAGTGAAGCAAAGTTCTATTAAGAATATGTTTTTTAATTATTTTTTTTTAATTCAAACAGTTATTTTTTTAAAATTCTTTTAAGATCATAATTGCAATACTGAAAATTAAATCAGCACATCAATTTTTGGTATATACAGTGTCTTGGTGAATGTGGAACTAACGGTTTTAAAACAAGAACATAATTGCAATACTGAAAATGAAATCAGCATATCAATTTTTGGTATATACAGTGTCTTGGTGAATGTGGAACTAACGGTTTTAAAACAAGAACACTGAACTGTGTCTGGTCTAAAACCAAGCTTCATGCTGGACGCCACTGTGCCTCTGTGAAGAGACCAAAGACGATAAAAATGTGCAAAATGGGTAGCTGTCTTGATAGTGAGTTCTTTTGCTAATATTTCTTTTTAAGTCTTAAGTTATCAGGGGTTTATTTTCGATCTGTCTTTTTCGGCTGATTATGCTTACAAATTTATATTCTATAACTTACTTTAACATCTAGTAAGGTTTCAACAATTTGCCGTTTTACTTTTTATTCTGAGAATAAGATATTTCTTTTTCCTGGTGTTTCTCAATTTTTAGAAAAATAAATATCAAAATGTCTGTGGTAATTTTTTTTTAAAAAGATATCTCATATGGAGGGAAGAAAAACCATCTCTGTCTATTTGAATTATCTTTACACTTTAGAAAATAATTACTGTCTGATATATATGTGTGTGAGGGTGTGGGTGTGTGTGTGTGTGTGTCGATAGATTTATCTATCACTGCAATGTTATCTCTTTAAAACGAAAAAATATCTGTTTCAATAAAAGATGTATGAAAGTGAATAGTATTACTTGTCATGGAAGGAAAATTGATCACAACAGGTACAGGTAAACGCATACATGCAATTTTCTGACGATGAAATGTATTAATTATGTAAATTTCAAGTCAAATGTTCATATACGATAATTTGATGTAATATCTTTGTTTTATTTTCAGGATGTGCAGACAAGTCAGAATATTGCAGTGTTGTGAAGATAATGAAATTTTGTAAATTTACTAACTTTCGCAGGAATTGTTGTTTATCCTGTCAAGATTCTTGACTATAACATATTAGTTACTGAATTAATATTCAAGCTACCTCAGGTCACATATACGTTTATTATTGACCTACTGTCAAAAATGATGTATAAACATAATAATGTTTACAATTTTGCTTCTTGTCTGCAAAACACAATATTATAGTTATATTCTTATCATCACAAGACACAGATTTTTTTGTCCATTCTATTTCCACAAACCAGGTACACAAAAACCTATGGCTGGCGACAAAGGTATATCGTAAAGGAACCAAAAAATGCTCATTTATTTTCTTTCTCTAGAAGACATATATTAGATTTTGAAGAATGTGTATTACATACTGGTAGTTTGTCTCAATTGTTGGGGGAAATATACGGTGTACAGTTATAATATTGGGATGTGTACTTGAAAGGAAATACATGCATTCAACAAGAAAAAAAATATCAAATTTTGCATGACTTCTGATAGGCATTAAATTTTATCATTTGTCTGAAATCAAAAATTAGAGAGAGAGAGAGAGAGAGAGATGTCTTAATTTTTAAATATGGACGTAGCGCAGAAATACATGTACATAAATTGTTGGAATGTAAATAAATGAAGATAATTGGTGTGATTTAAGTTTTTAAAATTCTTGAGGATATGACTTTTCGTCCTTGCATATGCAAAAATTATCAAGAACTATATTCATGAACTTTTAAAACTGTAAAACATCTCTTATAAAATATTTTAAACAAGAAAAAGCGAACAACAACTAGTACAAGTTCTAATACATCTGCTAAAGAGCAAACAAGAAATCATTATGGCAACCTTTGATCACTGGAGCACTTTGTAGACTGTGTCCCCTTTTGGACAACATCTATGAATAAAGAGAAACAAAAACTGTGAATTTCGTGTTGGCCTTAACATGCACTTTCTTCGTAACAAGGGTAACTCGGGAAGAATCCAAAATGTTAATTTTATAATTCATTTATATATTCATTTTATAATTTACATAAAATATACACGTATCAAATTGGGCATAAAATGCTCAGGTTAGCATGTCGTCCATGGGGCTATGATATTAGCATTTCATCTAATAAATTCGAAACTTAGTATATAATTTAAGAATCTCAAATTCTATTTAACAGGTTGGGACCAATTTCTGAAATGGGATATTATAACCCGTCTATGTTATAATATCCCAAATGGGATATAAATGTACAGTGCATAAAAATCAAAAATTTTATTTTGGCTATAGATATCATAAATCCGCATCAAAAAAGGAATAACTTTTGGCAAGCAAGTTAAGTTTTTCTGCTGCAACCCTACAGTTTGTTAGATTGATCTCCAAGAAGTTTAGGTATGTCTAAATCGGCAAAATTATTTGGGGCACGCCCCCCCCCCCCCCTTCCCGGTTCCTACGTCCATGAAAAAAAGAAATTACGAGCAATATAGTGTATATAGAATAAATTCAAGCTTTGTTTCATGTCGATGCCACTGAATTGAACGTTTCTTGTTTCTTAGCAAAAGAATTGATTTCATGACTCAGAGTCATGTTGATTACACTGGATTTAACTTTTCTTGATTCTTCATGTAAAAATAAATTTGCTCAAGTCAGACAAGCTTTTTAGGAAGCTAATACTTGTTTGTGATATACCCTCAGATAGAGTAAGTAAATTATTTATTATAGTGACATGTGTATTATACAGTAATACAGTGTATTTTACAACAATATACTTAGTTTTTTACACTCGGCCCAAAGGACCTATATGTCACTGTTTATATGTTAACAATATACATATATACAGGCACATAAATGAAGATAAATTATATTAGAATGTTCTTTTTGTGAAATTCTGACGAGTTTTAAAAGCATCGAATATAAAGTTTGCAGAATGTCTGGGAAATTTACATAAAATATCTGAAAAGAATGTATCGTCTAAAGACAAATTTGACAAATTTTTAAAACCTATTTTACGAAAGAAGTCTATCCTTTTAATTTCATATAATTTACAGTGTAGTAAAAAATGTTTTTCATTTTCAATTTCGTTATTTTCGCAAAACTGGCAAATTCTGTCTTGGGGTGGCTCAGATTTATAACGTCCATTTTCAATTCGAAGTGGTAATACACCGTAACGAAACATTGCCATAACTGATCGGACAGGTTTCGGTAAATCCATACTGACGTACTGCTCCAGTTCATATTGATTTTTAAAAAGACGATAAGTTCTTAGTTTGGGAATTTTTTGTAAATCTTCAATCCATTGTCTTTTAATTTTCTGACAGAGGAGTCTTTCGGCAAGTTCTATGCTGCATGTTGATAAGTTTGTGTACGTATACGGCATATTCAGAGAATCAAATAATAGTTTAGTTTTTTAGGCCCAATTTGTTCTGTTATTTTGATTCCGATCCCAAAGGAAAATCTTCTTCGTCAGACGGTCGTTTTCTAGTGTCACCAGACGATTCCAGAATCGCAAGACGTTAATCTGATGTCGATAGTAGCATGGCATCCAACCACATTCTCCTTGGATTGCAATCAATGGGGTGAATCGGTGTACTCCTAAAAAATACCGCAAGGCGCGGGACTGCACTATCTCTGCACAATAATAATTTGTGGTTCCCCAAACTCCACTGCAGTAATCTAGAATAGGAGCAACACAGTTGAGATACAGCTTTTCAAATGTTTCAAATCCGACCATTTTAAGGGAGTGAATTTTAGATATCATAGATCCAAGAGCTCGTCCTCCAGATTTTCCTAAATTTTCCGCATTTCTTCTAAAATCAATATTCTCATCAAAGATTACACCTAAATATTTGTAGAAATGTTCATAAGCTAAATTTTCTCCTCCTAGATAAAATGTATGAGTACTTCTTTTTTTGCGTTTTTTCCGAAAATGAACTATTTTGGATTTATTTGGATTGATTCGAAGACGCCATTTTTTACACCACGAGTCCACAACATTGAGCATGTCCTGCATATTCTTTTCATTCGGAGAAATGATTGCGATATCGTCCGCATACAATAGAATGCTTAAATTAAAATTTTCTTCAATCTGCACTCCTTTATTTAATGCTTTGATGGCCGTAGCGAGATCATTGATGAAAAGCGCAAATAACGTGGGCGACAAATTATCTCCCTGTCGAACTCCTGAAGAACACTCGAACCACCCTGTGTAGCGGTCTCCTATCCGGATACAAGATTCAGTGTTAAGATAGAGAGATTTTATTGCATGATAGAAGTTTCCATCGATACCATGCTTCAGCAGACTAAATTGTAGTAATTCTCTGTCGACCGTATCAAACGCTTTTTGCAAGTCTATGAACGTAACAAATGTTGATTCATTATTTTCAATTACACTGTTTAGAGTAAATATATGGTCAATACAGGATCTATCTTTTCGAAACCCATTTTGTTCATCCACCAAGATATCATTTTCCTCCAAATAAACTAGGAACCTGTTGTTAAGTACGGAACTGAATATTTTGGCTACTACAGATAAGAGACTGATTCCACGATAATTCAAGGGAATTCTAGGATCCGACTTGTTATCTTTAATAATTGGGCATATTATTGCTTTACGCCAAGTATGTGGTACAATTCCAGTATCAAAGCATAACTGAAACATTTTATGCAATGTTTTGACAACGTTTTCATTTTTTAGAACTTCGTATGGCAGTTCATCTACTCCGACTGACTTGCCGTTTTTTGCTTTGTAGACGACTTTTCGAATTTCCTCTTCGTTTATTTGAGTATTCAAAGAAGTATTTGGCACATACAAAGGATCAAGCATCATACGTTCCAAGTGTAATTTTTGGTTGATAGCTTCGTTTTTAAATGCGGCGTCAAAATCTGGATCGGAGTCAGGATTATATAATTTTTTAAATTCTTTATACCATGTTTGTTTCAGTAATTTTTTATCTGAATTTATTTCTCCTTGTTCGTCATAACATTCTGTTGGGTAATGTTTTTTCCGATTAGGACCCAGCCGTTTAATATGTTCCCAGAATTTCCGAGGATCATCTGAGCACACAGACTCAATATTTAGAGCTAAGGTTCTGTTATGTTTTCTTTCATAGTAACGAATACGTTTGTCTAAGACGTTTTGAGCATATTTATATTTTTCCCGTAATTCACGCTTTTTACGACAATCTTTTACATTGCATTTCAAAAACTGTTTTTCATGATTTCTCATCGTTTTCCACAGTTCTGTTAGCTCGTCGTTCCAGTATGGCTTATGAATACGCAACTTTTTCTTGGATTTTCTTGACCAATCATAGTTAGGTATTAATTCAATCATTTCACTAATCACTATATCACAGAAATTTTCATAGATATCGTTTATTTCTCTTTGAGTTTCACGACACAACTCTATTTTTCTAATAAGCGAATTTATTGCGTATATGGCTGAATTAGAATTCATGAAATCGCTTGGGATTCGTCTGAGGTTATATCGCTTTTTCGGGTTGCTTTTATTTACATCAACATCTGCATGTACGGTGTATCCAAAGACTAGTTCAAACTTAAGTATACTGTGATCGGGCACCTTGCATTTTTCTCCTAGAAGGTTCATCGCGTTGAGTTCTTCAATTACACTATTACAATTCACAATACGAAACTCTTTACACTGAGTAAAAACATCGTGAGGAACACAGATATAGTCAACTACCGATTGTCCACGTGTAGAATGGTAAGTATACTGATTTGACTGTTCTCCGAAACGTCCATTTAAGGTACAAAATCGACTGTCATTTAGAAATTCTAAAAATGAACTTCCGTGTTGGTTATGGGTAGTGTCTACAGAGTTACGTTGCGGTATATTATCGACGAAATCGTTACAGTCTTGGATATTTCCGATTCTCGCATTCAGGTCACCACATACAACAATGGCATCGGATTCATAATGTAAATAGATTTGTGATAATAAATGTGAGTAGAATGAGGAAGCATCACGTCCCCACGGGGAATTTTCTGGAGGAAGGTACACAGTAAAGAGAACAAGTGTAAAATCATTGTGTTTATTTACAAAGCGAACTCCTAAGATTCCTTCGTAAGATTTGTCTACAATGTCAATACAATAAGAGTTAAACAGCCTGTCTTTCACTAAAACTCCCACGCCCCCTGAGCCTTTCGGTGCTTTAATATGAGTGTGAGTGCGGTTAAACCCAATCCATTTAAACCCATGCTCTGTTAAGTCTATAACATCTGCATTAACTAAATGTGTTTCATTCAACCCAACAATATCACAATTAATGTTATTTATTATTTCAGTTCTTAATTGTTCATTTGATCTAGTCCATCCACAAACATTCAAATGTCCTATACTTAGGCTACCAGTGGGTCGGGTTCTGTCCTACTCACTGGTCTGTTCAACTTGCGGTTGCTTTTTAACAATTCTGCCATTTGCTGTAATTCGAAATTGCTTGCCATGTGGCATTTCGTTTAAGATCGTGCGTGCATTAAGTTCGATGTCTTTCAGTATGGGTTTTACTCGATCTGAGAAAGACGGTTTTGAACTTTTCTATTTCTCGGAGTTTACGCTTTTCCCGTAACACTGCCTTTTTTCAGTAAGAGAGGATACTGAAATCTTTACAAGGCCTGGTCTGTTGCCTCTGCTTTTCAAGCGACATG